TACCATAGATTTATTTATCACTTAGAGTTAGTCCATTTTTAGGGACAATAAGTACTGAAAGCAATGTTTTATTCTTCTTATCTCTCCAACCCCCTCTCACAATTCTCAACTGACTCTTCATACTACCAACACAATTAATAAAAACCTCTAGTTTTTTTGATCTAGTAATGATCCTCTAGTATCAGCAAAGATACCTACTGCCTATCAGTAAAGATACCTAGTGCCTAGACCTTGCTTTCTTATACAATTTTCTAAATAGAAGAAACTAAAGTTCCTTGGGGAAATCCAGAGCTGAGACAGAGAAAGCAAAAGTAAGTCTGGGATATTTTCTGGTACCAAAAGAGAAAAGAGGTGCTATTTAAAAAAAAAAAAAATTATAGAAACTTGTAAAAAAAAAGATGAGGAACCAACTTGAAAGAACTCTTAATGGCCAAATCTAGGACACTGAACTATAAAAATGATTGTAATGAATTATAATTCATAGAGTAAGAATCCATGATTCCGTATTGATAGGTAAATAAATACATAAATATAGAAAAGGGAAAGGTCTTCCTTAGAGTAGAATTCCAACTAAGAGAAGCAGAATAATGGAAAATCATTTGGTAAACACTAGGTAGTAATTTTTCAAGCAACATTCACCAATGGGTGCCAAAATTAGTACACGATGAGAAACTAGTATGATGAAAAAGATATTTACGAAATCTCAAAGTACCTCTCCACAAGATACCTATTAAGTCTGAAAGTGGAAAAAAAAATAAAAACCTTACAATAGAGAAAACTGGCAGACATCACCTTAACTAACTGATCAAGGAAAACATCACCAGGTGCTTCCCAATAGGGTGCACTAAGGATCATACGTTATTCTGTGGAATTCTTGCCAAAAAAGCATAACCTAAAATCAATCATGAGGAATCATCAGACAAACCTAAATCGAAGCAACACTGTATAAACCAATGTCAGTATTCTTCAAAATTTATAAAAGGCAAAGCAAAAAATACTATTCCAAACTAAAGGAGACCAAGAATACATGACAATTAAACATAAAGTGTGATCCTAGATTGGATCCTAGACCAGAAACATAATGTTACTGAGATCACTGGCTAACTGTGAAAGGTTTATAGATTAAATAATATGGCATCAATGTTAATTTCTTTTGATTTTTATAACTGTATTGTGGTTATATAAGATGGTAACATTTGGAAAGTTTGGGCAAAGGGTATACATTAGCTCTTTTTACTGTTTTTGCAACTTTTGTTAAGTCTAAAATTATTTTTAAAAAGAAGCTAAAAAAAGTATAAAAGCCTGAGTGTGTACATATATAACATATAACTGTGTGTATATGCTTGTCACATGTAAGCACTCAAAAATTAGCTATTAATATAATTCAAGTATATTAAACCTTATTTAGTAAAGTTACTCATTTAGTAAATATTTTACAGAGTACCCAGTATGTGTCCAACAGAAAAGAAAGAAAGCAGCCAGTGGGGCACGTACTCACTAGTAGATTCCTCGGCATAGCTGAGATTGGCTATTTCAAATACATTCATGTCCATTTACATTCTGTTTCTCTTCTCTCTTTCAAACTGAGTCATTCCAAGTTCTAGTTTAATTCCTGCTGTTAATGACCCTCTTCCTAGTTATCAAAATGCATGTATTCTAAAAACATGGATCAAATTCAAGCCATATGACGTTGCCTATAATAGTCTCTCAAATCCTTCAAATTTCTTATTTTTAAAACTGGGATGCCCTTCGCCTAGGTGGCTCAGTGGGTTAGAGCCTCTGCCTTTGGCTCGGGTCATGATCCCAGTGTCCTGGGATCGAGCCCCACATCGGGCTCTCTGCTCTGCAGGGAGCCTGCTTCCTCCTCTCTCTCTCTGCCTGCCTCTCTGCCTACTTGTGGTCTCTGTCTGTCAAATAAATAAGTAATATCTTTAAAAAAAAAAAAACACAAAAAAACTGGGATGCCCTTAACCAACTTTATACAATTCTTGTGAGGATTTAAATAGGAACAAGTAAAAGTAACTGGCACATAGTAGATATTCAAAAAATGTTACTTTCATATCCCTTAAAAATTTCATTTTCTAACCACTATAGAATCTTGAAGGGTAGATCAACAATTGTTTTACTTATCTCCAGGTGAACCCCTGTTCTATTTTCCAAAGAGATTACTCTGTATTTTTTACCTATACATTTTATAAAGTAAGTATAAAAAATGTGCATTTACTCTATCCATTTTAACAGCTCCTGTATATACACAAAAGTCCAAAAGAAAAAACATGCATAACCTCCATTTCTTTCCCAACTATCAGACCAATATTTCCAACAGCTTTTCCAAATATCTGGATATCTCATCATGCCACCTTCAAACTCAAGATTCCACTATTATGCTCTATGCTGCCACCTATTGGCTATTACCATACTCTGCAGAGATTTCCTCCTCTTGGATTCTTAAAGCCAAACTTAAAAAGCACAAGCTTTAACCCACTGGATATATTTACTTCCACATTCTAGTTCTTTTCAGATGAGATGCTCCAAGTGCCTTCAAAAAGTTTTAGTTCAATCACTTTAAGTCTAACACAATTAGAGATACATAGCTGACAATTTACATCTTCTAATAAGCTTTCTACTTTTCCTATTTTCCGCTATAGATGTTATGGCTGTGTCTGAAAAAAATAAATGCTAAAGATAAATAGTGAAGTGTCTAACGGAAAATATCAGCTTTCCGAGAACTAGCTAAATTGTCAAATGGAAATATTCTTTCTAATTAGAAAAGCAACTAGAAATTGAGGAATAAAAATAATAAGAACAGCTGTTTTAAATGCTACATGGTTCCATGCCTTGCTATTTCTGTCTTCTAAAAATACTCATACAATAGTTTACCTCACATAGCAATGGAAAACTCAATCATATTACAAGAATATACTGTACTCAATTACTGAACAAAGAAGGGCTTTCTTCCCAACCCTACCCTAAAAAAGGTAATTAATAGCTGCTCCTTCTATTCCACGAAAATGCCTCTTAAATGACTTGTTCAATAGCCACAACATGCATGCATATGCATGCACACACACACAGTTTAAAGTGATCAATTACAACTTCACTGATACTTAATTTATGGTCTTTCTCAAACCACACTGAATTTCAAAACACTGTTCACATTAATTCAGTGATAACAGACCATCCTGGATAGCCAAAATAACAACTTTTCATGTAGTAAGCTAGAAAAGGAAACCACACTGAAAAGCTCTTAAATTGGCTTTCAGATTTTAAAGCAATTTGCTAACAATGGTAAATAATGGTACAGTGGTTACAAGGAGGGGTAAAAAGAATACACAACATGGTTCAGTGTTCAGAGGTTGACAATGTACTTCAGAACATAAGACACAAACACGGAAAACGAGGAACAAAAGAAGGCAGACTTTTAATTGACAAATAATTGTTATTAATACTACAACAGTGTGAAGGGTTGAGACAGCAGTAAGAGCAGAAGTATACCACTGATATGGATAGGAGGTTGAACGCTTAAGCTAAGAGTTAAGGGCAGAAGAATTTAAGCTATAAAGAACAATTGGTATGCAATGCTACAGTCTAAGTAGTAAAAGCATGTTGTTTACTACAAACGACTGCACCAGTTTATCTGAAAGAAAACTGTACAGAAGACTTGTGGGGTATCATTAAAAAGAGGGCAGCAGTAGAAAGACAAGTGGACTGACCTGTGGAGAGTACTGAGGCAGAGAACATTAGGCTAATGAATCCAGAATACAATGAAAAAAGTCACTGGAAACGGAGCATGGGATAATGTTTCCACACTATTTGAGGGATGAGGGCTGGCGGGAAGGAGTTTAAACTTGTAGCAGTGTTTAAAAGACTGAAGAAAACTAAAAAAGACCAATCATGTTATTTCAGTAGTCTAGAAATAATGCTAATGGTATGAACTACAGTAATGACTGTGGGGAAAAAAAAGAATAAAACTCCATATGAGGGAAGAATTTATGGAATCTGGTCAATGATTCTGTTAGAAGCCTACGAGCCGGGGTGAGAAATTAAAAACATTTCCGAAGCTTTAAAACAGGGAACAGGGGGGTGCCTGGGTGGTAAAGTGTCTGCCTTCAGCTCAGGTCATGATCCCAGGGTCCTGGGACTGAATCCCACATTGGGCTCCCTGCTCAGTGGGGAGTCTGCTTCTCCCTCTACCCCTAACCCCTGCTCCCTCTCGTTCTCACTCTGACAAATAAAAAATAAATAAAACAGGGAACACAGGCACCTGGGTGGCTCAGTCGGTTAAGCATTTGACTCTTGATCTTAGCTCAGGTTTTGATCTCAGGGTTATGAGTGCAAGCCTACCACTGGGATCCACGCTAGACGTGGAGCCTACTTAAAAAAATAAAATAAAACAAAACAGGGACCAGAAGTACCATTAAAAAAAAAAAAATGTAAGATAGGAAACCATTATTAATAAATATTTCCAACAACTGAAATATGTTTCTAAACCAAAACTCCATTAATATTTAACACAGAGCAATAAAAACAGAAACCCAAAGGTATAGCTGATTTTTACAATTAAACAGCATTCATGCTCAAATAGTATAAAGTAACATCTTATACTAAAGCATAAACCATAGTTTGTCATAAAGCTACATGAACTGTAACTACTTGACCCATATCCATGTTACTGCTTTTAGTACAAATGACTCCCAGTGCTTGAATTATCATGTACTTCATATTTAAAATAAACCAACAGTTTGAGATCTAGCTAATTATTCTGCCTAGTGAACTATACAAATAAAGCAATGCATGGTGGGATACAGATTTCTCAATAGGCTAATCAACATACTAGAAGCAGTCTAAATACCAAAACTGAGTTACTATCAAATCTTTTATAAATAAATATGGAATCACATCTTCCTTTTCCTATAAATCTTCCAACAAAGTAATCAAATTTTGAAAAAATAAAAACTATAAAACACCACTCTAGGAAGTTCCACAAGTTTTTTGGTTACCTTTACTTTATCTCTTCTCAAGCAACAGAATAGACAATTTTCATCAAAAGTCCAATCGGAAATGTTTTCAGGTTCACAGTCTGCAAAAATAGTGGGAATACTAAATTAACAGTCAAGAAAAGGAATTTCTTAGGAAACAAATGAGAATATAAAAAATATTTATTTTAACAACAAGAACAAAAACCCTAAATAGTAGACGGTTTCCTTATTTGTCTTAAAATTCTTAATAACTGCCCACTGGTATATGTACCTTAATACATGTATTTGCATTATCAACACAAAAAGATGCTTACAAGGATACAGCTTTAACTCACATAAAATTGAATAAAAAGGAGATGGAGGCTTAAATCACAAAAATATCATATATGTCACGAGGAAGAATTTGAAATACCAAAAGAAAAAAAAAAAAAGAATTTGAATACCTTTAAATAAACTGAGATCTTTTAATAATGCAGGTCCAAACAGCCCTTCAAGAATACTTTCAAACCCTGAAAGGATAAGAAAAAATCCAAATTACAGTAATACTCCCTATGGTAATGTAATATCAATCTGTTGCTGAAAAAATGATAGTGTATTCTGCCAGTTCTCAAGGATCCCCAGATTATTGAAAGGATGCTGAGGAAAGAGTGTCAATGACAAATTTAAAAGAAGCATTTGCAGTTCTGTCCATGATTAACATTCAATACCAATTCAAAGCACATTCAAGAACAATACAAAACAGACACCACTAGAAATAACCAAAGAATGAATGGAAATTCGTGGGTTCTCTTATCATTTTACAAAAATCCCAATACCTCCCTACATAAATGCCCAAACTCCATTTTTAAAAAGGCACCTTTCCCAATAAAACGTCAAATTGTTTCAAATTTCCACAGCATTCTACATTAATCTAAATAGCATGTTTCTGAATATCAACCGAGGTCATAGGTTTTTCAAGCTAACAGTTTTTGAAGAAGCAAAATCCTCACTGAGAACACCTTTATCACTAAAGAAAAAGGTCACAACATAGTATTTTAAAAGAAAATGACGTTGTAATTATTTCACATTGCCACAGTAACTACTTGCTGGTTCATTTATGAAGGTAGAACCCACTAGCTATACACACAAAAAATTCATATATACCTATACATCAATATTTAAAATATTATCTATCACCTTTTACCAGTATATAAAAACTTTTCTCATTTATTACCTCAAACACTGCTGATCAACTCAATGAAAACAATTTTAAAATCTTGGCCATCTTGCTGTTTCCTATGGTTCATTAAGAGAAAAAGGAGTGAAAAGAAGAAAGGAATCAGACTGTAACTTTATACAACATAAAAGAAACAATGGGTTAAGAGTAGTGGTTCCCAAACTATGGACCTCACTGGGAGCTCAAACAGTTACAAAGGGTCCATGAATCCATATAAACTTAAAGCATGAGCTTCAGAAGAATATGTCTTGTACATTCAGTATACATAGTACTTTTCAAATGCATAAAAATGCTACTGTAATCAAGAAAATACAAAAAGTGTTACTGAATTTCTAGTATGTACTATGTATTTTGTGGCACTAAGTATTCTGTCACATAGTCTACTATCACTTACAGGTTTATAATTTAAAAACAAAAAAGTTACAATGGAATATTACTCAGCCAGCATAAAGAATGAAATCTTGCCATTTGTAAGGATGTGGGTGGAGCTAGAGTATTATTACTACACTAAGTGAAAAAAGTCAGTCAGAGAAAGACAAATATCCTATGATCTCACTCATGTGGAATTTAAGAAAACAGATGAACATATGGGACAGAGGGAGGGAAAGGAGAGAGGGAAATAAACCATAAGAAAATCTTAAAGAGAGAACAAATGGAAGGTTGATGGAGTGATATGGGTGGGGGGATGGGTGAAGGGTATTAAGGAGGGCACATTTTGTGATTGAGCACTGGGTTTTGTATGTAAGCAATAAATCATTGAATTCTATTCCAGATATCAATATTGGACTGTATGTTACCTGAATAAAACTTAAATTTAAAAAAAAAGTACTCTTATTGTCAAAAGAAAGGGAGACCCACTAATTTAAAATACTATACCCAGGTGGATACATGAAGTCCACACACACAGTTAGCATTTATCACAATCACCATAAAGGGTTCTGAAGACAAAGGGGTAGAAGGATGGTCCTTAGAAAAAGTATTTTATTTCATTAAATAACACAGGAGCGCCTAGAAAGTTCAGTCAGTGGAGCATGAGACTCTTGATCTCAGGTTTGTAGGCTTGAGGCCCTCGCTGGGTGTAGAGATTTCTTAGAAATAAGATCATAAAAAAAAAAATTAAAATGACTGAAATTTAAGAATAATAATGCATGGGGCGCCTGGGTGGCTCAGTGGGTTAAGCCTCTGCCTTCGGCTCAGGTCATGATCTCAGGGTCCTGGGATCGAGCCCCGCATCGGGCTCTCTGCTCAGCAGGGAGCCTGCTTTCCCCTCCCCCTCTACCTGCCTCTCTGCCTACTTGTGATCTCTCTCTGTCAAATAAGTAAATAAAATCTTAAAAAAAAAAAAGAATAATAATGCAGTGTAAAGGATTTTTTTTTTTTTTTTGGTCCACAATATTAAAACCACTGTTTTCAATACAGTAATCTGCAGAGTTTGCATTATCAACACTGTAGTTAGAGCTAATTTTTCTATACTATATTCTAGACTCTCGATTTTTCATTTGTTATCAAGAAGCAATTGTTTTTCAACTCTCTTTAATTTCTTCCCATCAAAGTTATTCCAAGGATATTAACAAAATCAACCTACCCGTTCAACCAAATTAGAGTTATCTGTGCCTTTTACTATCTGCCTACTATAATCAGAACTTTTCCCACTGATTTACTATGGCCTCTCCTCCCCACATTAGGGAGGAGAAAGGGTTGAACTGGGGTTTAGAGGTTAGGTAGATGTGGTAAGAGAAGGAAAAAGGAATTGCTATCTTGGGCCTACAAACTAGATATTCTCAACACTGGTTTTTTTTTTTTTTTTTTTCTTCCCTTAAATGAATCCTATAGTCTGTCTCCAACTGTAAAACTCTATTATACAAATACTAAGGAAAGCATTTTAATAACCTGAAGTACCAAGCACACAATGCAATTAGCTAAAGGAGATTACAGGTGGCTCTTGTCCCAAAGAGCATATCTACTACGCTTTCACTTGATTTGTATGAAATTATAACAAATTCCAAACTTGTATACTAAGCATAAATTCTTGAAAAGGAAAAATGTAAATATATCAAGAATACTCAGAACAAAAAAAAGGCAAAAGCTTTGAGAAAGAAATTTTTAAAAATTACAAAAGATAACAGAATCTGAAATAAGAAAATAAAAACTTCATCAATAACACATAGACACTAACAAAAACTGAACCACATATCAAAAAACCACGAAAGGGAAAAGGCCAAAAGGAAATCAAACAAGAAAAAAATCTGGTGCTTTAACCAAATTCTGATCAAAATGCTGTAAACAGGTCACCCCTACTTTGCTCATATCTGTAACATATGTTAAACCTTACAAATATTATCAATTAGAAGCTATAAAGCCATATTTTGCTACCCTCTATTAGCTGAATTTAATGCTATTCAGTTTTATTAAGTATTGAATTTAGCAGCTGCACAGCAACAAGAAATGCCTCATGTGCTATGCTTGACATTAACAAAAAGCAAGTAAGAACAAATGTATTCAAAATTTATACCATGATCTCACAGAAAAGCCATGAGATCAATAATAAAATGCCAAGGAAAATTAAATAAATACTGAAAAAGACAGCCATGTCATTATGTTCAAACACTAGGGCTTAAAAAGCATCTTTATGTAATATATTACATATAAGGAAATATTAATAATCTTAAAGGACCTATTTAGTGTCTCAAGAATTCCTATCCAACATCACAAATGGTCTCAATGTTGGTCTCCAGTCTTTTCCTCACCACAACCTTCACTATGTTTTCAAACTATTCCTAAAACACTGCTTTTTGACAATGCTACTATCCATTCAGAGAAACTCTACTTTGTTTAAAAAACAAATCCCAAAATCTTAAGTTCAATAATCAAAGCTGCTTATAATTTGGTTCCAAGCTACCATAAGCAGCCTTATGTCCCAGAACTTCGCACTCATTCTCACAGCTCCAATCACATTGGTATTCTGATGTATTTAGTCATCACTTACACCTCCTAGTATTTTCTCAAGCTTTTCCATTTCACCTCGGCCCACATAAATTATCTCCCTCAAGGCACTCTTCAGTTTGTTCAACAAATACATATTTGTTTACTCAATATATACTAACTGACAGCCTACACCCAGGACAGTGGCAGGCACTGAGCAGGCAATGGTGAACAGACATGGTACCCGCCCTCATGAAGCTTGGGTTTCTAGTTCCTCAGAATTCATTTATCACTCTCCCTTTTTAAATGTCAATTGTTTATGTTTTGTTTTCTGCACATGCAAAGCCCTGTCTATGCAAGTATTCTGTCAAATAAAATTTGTAATAGGCTATCTAAGCCTTTTTTTCCTTTTCTTTTCATACATTTATGTCTTATCTGCTCAAGGAGATTTAATGCTCTGGGAAGGCTACGTAGGTCTTCCTGTTTCCCACATTTAAAAAAAAATATTTTATTTATTTATTTGACAGAGAGAGAGAGAACACGAGTAGGGAGAGAGGCAGGCAGAGGGAGGGAAAGAAGTAGGCTTCCCTCCAGGCAGATAGCCTGATGCGGGGCCCGATCCCAGGACTTCAGGATCCATGACCCGAGCTGAAGGCAGATGCTTAACCGACTGAGCCACTCAGGAGCCCCCAGCCACATTTCTTTTCTTACACCAGGACTCTACATACCTAGTTTTAAGCTTCTGATTAAATAATCATATAGCTCTCAAAAACAAAAGATAGAAGATTAAAATTTTTCACATATTCCCTCTTCAATCTAAATCATACTTGCTACCTCTTTATTTGTAACCAAAAGGGGAAAAGCAGGTTATGAAAAATAGCAGGACAGGAACGTATCAAGTCCAGAGCCAACTTCAGTAAGCAATATAGTGTGTACTTAAGAAATACAGAAAATATTATGGATGGAATGAAAAAAGGGTTCCATGAGTCTTGGGAACCTTTCGTCTGAGGAAACCAGTATAACTGGAGATTAGCAGTTTGAGAGACAAAAAGGTACTAAAGGAAAAGTAGGAGCACATCAGAAAATTAGCAATTTTTACATCAAGGTCCTTGGGTATCTTGTAAAACTTGGTGTTTGGTGTAAGAGCTCACTCCCCAACAAAGCATAATCTTTTATAAAATACCACTTCAGAGGTGCTTGCTGGTAACAATCATCAACTCATACCCTGGCAAAAAGGAGACTGACAGTGTCCGGAGTTCTTTGCTTAAAACCCAGGTGTAGAAGTTGCCACAACCACACTGAACTCCATGATAAGGGAGCCACCAAACAATTGAAAAGCACCAGATTATATAATCTTTTATATTTTATCCA